CTATAGGAAAGCATCGGGAAGCTATTGCGTATGTATGGCAAAACGCTGCGCCAATCAGCATCTCCTCATAGAGATGCATTGACTCAGTTCATCTTTATGGGAAAAGTTCAGAATATCCATGCAGAGTGTGGAGATGCTGAACGTCAGTGCTGCACATTGTGAAGCACTGGCACAGGAAGCACCTCTACTGGCCGTCGGAGTGACTGCCACTGGAGGTGTCCGTAGGCATATTCATTAAAGATCAAGTTTCTGTGACTTGATTAGTGCTGTATTTTGCTCGATGCTGACAAGGCATTTACCCTGGTCAGCACTTTCAGGGCGGTGGCAAATAAAGCTGCCCCCCAATTGCCCTGGCAGATGCCTTGTCACCCTCTTGTCCTGTGGGGCTGTGTTTCTGTCAGAGAGTGTATGTCAGTGCATGCATCAGTGAGGCCGTGAATCTGTCAGGAAGAGAAATTTGGTGGGAGGAGAGGGGGTGGGCTAGTTTTGTCATGCATAGGGCATCACAAAACCAGAATAGACATCTGGACTTGAGAACGAACTTGTAACAGTTTGCAACAAACGAATTACCGCCCTCCCAAACTGCAGCTCTACATAATTAGAGATTATTTCCACAGCTACAGTATATAAAACTATATACAAATTATAAACTCACTAAAACACTATAGCCATAAATATGAAAAGTCTTACTAAGTCATAAATATAAAAAAGTCAAAGAAATATCATTGGTTAAAAAAAAAAAAAAATAGTGATTTTACATACTCTGCCCTTTTACAAAATAAATGTAAGTAAAAACTTTATTTACAATATTTGAGTGCAAATTGTTGTTATTTAGATTAGTTTTATTATTTTTACAGAGTACATAGGATACAATACAATAATCATTAAACATTACATGCCATTTAGAAAGAAAAAGGAACAAACAACAAAAGAGAAAAAACATTTCTGCTTAACTGAAAATAGCCAATTATTACTTAAGAAATATTTAGCAACATAGCATGCCAATTATAAAAAAGCAGCAAACAAATAAAACAATTAAATAAAAACAAAATTTAATAAAAACAAATACACTGAAAATAGAAAATAGTAATAATAACAGTACATAAAGTATGTAATTAGAGTATTTGTTGCTAACTATAATATGTTTAGGGAAAATAAATAAATAACAAAGAGGATGGGATGGTTGTAGTTAAAGGAAAAAAATATTGGGTTAACCAGACCAGATAGTTGTTTCTGCAGCTACTGACTGATAATTTATAACACAGATCTATACAGGGCTTATACCTCTCTCAGAAACTTCTGTGGAGAATTTATCAAGGGTTTTTCACAGGTAAAGCAAGGTCACACTAACAGGTTTATTCACTAAGTTAAGAAATCAAATAAAATTTGAATTTAACATTTTAAAGGGAATTTCAAATTTAAGATGACAATAGCTGGAAAATTACACATATCGTTAGTACTCCAGGATTATTTGGTACTAGCAAATGAAGAGACACACTTTAAATTACTGGGTTACCCAAACCACCATGACCACTTCTGCGTTTAGAAGAGGTCATGGTAGTAGGTTTAAGTTTGTGCAGTGTTTCTGCTTGAAATGCTGCACATACTGAGACATTAGCACTTGTTTGCCTATTGCTAGTTACAAACCCCAGCATAGGTGACTTAGGTAGCCCGGAACTCTGTTTCACGCTACTAACTTTCAATTCTATGTATATTTCATATCTGTTATCAGCATGGATGTCCTCTCTGTCCCTTCTTAACCCAGTGACTGCAATAAAAATGGAAAAGAGAGCTATATAAAATTATATATCTTTAAGAACTTTCAAAGCTGCTTGCTGGGCAAAGTATAAAACCACCAGGCAATTGTCGCGGCACCTATCTTGAAAAAGCTCTCAGAAGAAGGGCGAAACGCTTTGAAGGTTTCCGTTCCCAAGTTCAACAATCTGCTGCCTCTGAAAAGGTTCCAGCTCCGGCGGGATTTACCTCTAGCGTTCCTCCACTACAAGATCGTGGACAGCCTGCCTTAGTGCACGAGGCAGACACTGTCTCCTCTGGAGGATCTGGTATCCCCTTTGCTACCCTGGGAGAAGCTGTAAACGTGTGGGGTGCTCAACTGTTAACTGCGCATCCGTCATTTTGCTGGTGAAACTACTGAGATTATTGTAATTTTGTGCTAGCGAAATGTGCCTTTTATGTATGAAATAGAAGAAAGAAAAACTTTGCAAGCCTTGGTTAACGAAGGTACTTGGAGTGATAAAATCTATTCTCACTGTTTTTTTTCAAGCTATTGGTATGAAAAAGAGCATTTATTTCCATTTTGCTTTGGGTAAAGCATCTATTTTTATCTTAAATCTAATAAAAAAAGCATACCAAGTTAAAAAATAACTGTTATATCTATTCTCATTTCAAGAAAATGCTAGAATCAGTACCACAAGGTAGTATCTGTCACATCTGTAACCTTGGTCCACTGGCATATGTAGGAGATTCATAGAAAAGTGTCACTGTCTTCAGAAATGGGCACAGAGATTTTCACTTTTACCGTATTAAATGAACTCTACTCACACAGGACCTCTAAATATTTCATCCAGCAGGTTTGCCATTCAGTAAGATAAATCTTTCATTTATTTGAAATCTAAAATTAAAAAAAGCACAATCACAGCCCATTTTATTTTCATCACGTCAGGTAAAATGAAATGCTTGGTAGCACTACCTAATGTCATCTTTTTAATGATGCTACAATACACATTATGCTTCCAGTTGTCAGACGCCCACGCACACTGCCTCCCACGTAGTGCCAGTACCAACAATAACCTGCAGATTCTAATCTTCCTAGTTTTGAAGTTACAAAGGAAAAGATGCTCGTTCTGTCACATGAAAACGCTTGAAAATAGCAAAAGATCTTAATGTTTTCTCTCTGCTACTTGATGAAATTAGCAGCACACAAATACATATAATGCATAGTCACATGAAGGGGTCTATTCACTAACCAGCTATGTTTGACATGAGATCTGCTTAGCAAGATTTAGCCTAAATAGGGAGCTGGGGGGGGGGGGAAGCTTGCATTCAGGTTAGCTGGACATTTTTTACAGCTTTTTTGGTAGAGCTTATTGTTTTATTTTCATGTTGAAAACATATTTATGACATTCATTTACAAACAAGACGAAGAGACAAAAGATGCATAAATTCATGTAAATTTGTTTTTATTTTTTATGGAGCCAGGAATACCCTGGTGCCCCTTCGCCCATCCCCACATTCTAAGTTATCAAATAATTTTAGAACTTGGGATCCACCAGGTGTCACTCTCTGCCTTTACTACTTCCTATGGAGAGCTAGAATCTCAATACAGGAGCTTATAATTAACTATCCACCTAAGTTAAGCTCTGTAGTTCTAGGCTAGTTCATTGGCTGAGAGAATCACCTGACCTGCACATCAAGGTTAAGTTCAAATAGGATAAAATGTATTGGAGGTAAGGTGCAGCACCCAGTGAACCCCTGATAACCTCATTCAATCTGTTTTTAAATGGTTTTACTACTTACAACTTACCAAGGCACCTTTAGCACCATACCTACTAATGCATGATCTAATGGATATGGAGCTTGGAGTGTTCTTTTAATTAACATATCAAAAGTTATATATCTGATCATTATCCTTTAGCACTGTTAATCCGAAACTAGTGTATATAGAAAGTGCTAGAGAGTGGTTTTAATCTAAAATAATTTCAAAACAATGCAATAAAAACCACCTCCACCATTGGAGTCCTGTTTTTATTTTCTCTCTCTACATATGCTCTACCGAACTTCAAGCATATAATCGTGAAGTCTTGATCCCATCCAACACCCTAAGAATTTCCTTTCTACACGTGGGACCTACCATTATGGACTGCGATAAGTTTTTTGGACTATTGCCAATCACTTATTTTATTCTAATATTTATTTATATATTGTTATTATTATATATTTTTATATTTTAGGTGCACCCTTATTTTATTGTTTGTTTTGTATTCCTTGATACTATTAGGGGATTAGTGGGGACTCCCCTTTGAGGAGTGCAGCCTTCTTATTTATATCTTGTGTGGCAATTTAGCGCTGATTTTCTTCTTTTGTTTTTTCCAGCCATCATTGAGATGGGACATAAAGCTGTGGAGATACTACTATGTTTTGGATGGTTCTCTCTGTTTGCCCATTTGTTTGTGACTGATATGCAGACAATATATATCTGTTAATACGTGGTCTGTAGAAAAAGTGAACCCAAAACTGACATGTTGATGGTCACAGACAGTTAAGTGAGGGGGGTGTAAGGTCAGAAAATGTCTCATACGAACAATGCAGTGGTCTGACTAAAAGAAGACAATCCAAAGGCAAAAACACAGGGGGTCATTTTTGTGAACATGTCCACCACAACTGCAATGGTTTTATGGTTTGGAAGCAGGTAAGACCACAATCAAATCGATTGCCACAATGAATGGCTGGAATAAGAACACTTTTTTTTTATTAGGTTCTATTATGTTGAACTAGAAGGGATCATGTCCCATTTGTTCTCTAAGTGCCTCTCACACAGGAAATGTGTTGAAGAAGGAACAGGTTAAGCACTGAGTGATTCTCATTGAATATCATAGGAAAGCACTGACTGATGCCCACTGCATGACATAAAATCACTCACAGAATTATTCACTAAATACTGAATTGCAAAAATGAAAATCTAAACTGGAAAAAATACAGAGCTAAAATAACCAAACTATTACGATCAAATAATTAGAAAAAGTATTTCATTTATATGAGAATTGGTTTTGCAATTTTGATATCAAGTCACTAACTCCATCAGTGTTGCTTAGATTTATGTTTGGTGAAAAAAAATTGATTTGGTCGAATAAATTCAAATGAGTTTGGTGGACCAAAACCTACTCAAATGTTGTTAAGGTTTTGATGAATTTCATTCAATTCATCATTTTGGGAAAAAACAATTAGGTCTAATGAAAAGAGTGTGTATATATATACATATTTATACTGTTCCTCCTCTTTTTCTCTCTTTTGGTTACTTTTTTTGTCTGTACACCAAATGTGTATATATATATATATATATATATATATATATACCAAAAGAGGGAAAAAGAGGAGGAACAGTATAAATATATGTATCTTTATATATTGTATATGTATTAAATATACACTCAAAAAAATAAAGGGAACACTTAAACAACACAATGTAACTCCAAGTCAATCACACTTCTGTGAAATCAAACTGTCCACTTAGGAAGCAACACTGAGTGACAATCAATTTCACTTGCTGTTGTGCAAATGGGATAGACAACAGGTGGAAATTATAGGCAATTAGCAAGACACCCCCAATAAAGGAATGGTTCTGCAGGTGGTGACCACAGACCACTTCTCAGTTCCTATGCTTCCTGGCTGATGTTTTGGTCACTTTTGAATGCTGGCGGTGCTTTCACTCTAGTGGTAGCATGAGACGGAGTCTACAGTGGCTCAGGTAGTGCAGCTCATCCAGGATGGCACATCAATGCGAGTTGTGGCAAGAAGGTTTGCTGTTTCTGTCAGCGTAGTGTCCAGAGCATGGAGGCGCTACCAGGAGACAGGCCAGTACATCAGGAGACGTGGAGGAGGCCGTAGGAGGGAAACAACCCAGCCGCAGGACCGCTACCTCCGCCTTTGTGCAAGGAGAAACAGGAGGAGCACTGCCAGAGCCCTGCAAAATGACCTCCAGCAGGCCACAAATGTGCATGTGTCTGCTCAAACGGTCAGAAACAGACTCCATGAGGGTGGTATGAGGGCCTAACGTCCACAGGTGGGGGTTGTGCTTACAGCCCAACACCGTGCAGGACATTTGGCATTTGCCAGAGAACACCAAGATTGACAAATTCACCACTGGCGCCCTGTGCTCTTCACAGATGAAAGAGGTTCACACTGAGCACACGTGACAGATGTGACAGAGACTGGAGACGCTGTGGAGAACGTTCTGCTGCCTGCAACATCCTCCAGCATGACCGGTTTGGCAGTGGGTCAGTAATGGTGTGGAGTGGCATTTCTTTGGGGGGCCGCACAGCCCTCCATGTGCTCGCCAAAGGTAGCCTGACTGCCATTAGGTACCGAGATGAGATCCTCAGACCCCTTGTGAGACCATATGCAGGTCGGGTTGGCCCCCGGGTTCCTCCTAATAAAAGACAATGCTAGACCTCATGTGGCTGTAATGTGTCAGCAGTTCCTGCAAGATGAAGGCATTGATGCTATGGACTGGCCCGCCCATTCTCCAGACCTGAATCCAGTTGAGCACATCTGGAACATCATGTCTCGCTCCCTCCACCAACGTCACGTTGCACCACAGACTGTCCAGGAGTTGGCAGATACTTTAGTCTATATCTGGGTGGAGATCCCTCAGGAGACCATCCACCGCCACATCAGGAGCATGCACAGGCATTTAGGGATGTCATACAGGCACGTGGAGGCTACACACACTACTGAGCCTCATTTTGACTTGTTTTAAGGACATTACATCAAAGTAGGATCAGCCTGTAGTGTGTTTTTCCACTTTAATTTTGAGTGTGACTTCAAATCCAGAACTCCATGGGTTGAAAAATTGGATTTCCATCTTTTAATTTTTGTGTGATTTTGTTGTCAGCACATTAAACTATGTAAAGAACAAAGTATTTCAGAAGAATATTTAATTCATTCAGATCTAGGATGTGTTATTTTTGTACTTCCTTTATTTTTTTGAGCAGTGTATATACCTCTTTTAATTACTTATTTGATCTGTGAATAAAATAAATATTTAGTGGCTGTCCACTAACCATCAGTCATTGTTTATAACATCAGCAATTTATTTTCTTTTTTTTGATGCATAGGATGAAACTTTAAATCATGAAACAAATGGAATGGCTTGTTAATTGTCCATTGGTCACAAGATGATTTAGAGCTATGGAATTTTGATAACTCGACAATCACGCATAATTTGGTTAAATCGCAAATAACTTGAAAAGAATGCCTAGGTTCTAGTATTGAAAGAGTCAACTGGGTGTTAGTTGGCACATATAGGATTCTGTTGTGTCGAGTTTTCACATCAACTAAAATTTCATTTTGTGCATTCAGAAAAGTTCCACAAAATATAATTCATTCAAAGCACAAAATACATATATGTAAACTAACAATCACAATTATTGGCAGTGACAACTATATACAAAGACAAAATGATGCTGCCATATGTCTAGTAGAAAAAGGTCTATGCTATAAAATCTCAAAAAGAAATATGACTAATCTGTTTTGCAATGCATTGGTTCATCAAAATACGAATATTGTTTTAATATATGAGTTTGCATACAGTCCAATCAGCTTATGAGCAAAGAATAAGTTATACTAAAAATCATTGAAGAAGCAGAGAGTACAGTCTTAGATATGCAATGTTTTATTATTCTTTTATTGCACTGCAGACATCTGGAAATGCCATGAAGTGTCCAACAGTAAAAACAGGTTTGTGAACTGGTTACCATGGAAATGGAAATAAGAAAATATTATAATTAAATCATTGCTTTTTTATTATTTATTTGCATGATGTCACTCACTTTTGTGTGAATTCTTTTTTTAAATTCCTAGCTTTTGTTTAAATAATGTATTTACATATTTAACCCCTTCACTGCAAAATAGCATGTGAAATAACCACCATTATTTTGGTTGTCCTTAAAGTAATGTTTAAATGTATTTTTCATCTCAGTAAGGATAGATAGCACATTAATGTAAACAAACTTGAAAGTTTTGTTTGGACAGAAATTTTTTTAAAACATAACTTACAAAATAATGTAAAGTTACAGATAAGAAAAGCTGTGTTGTAAATAAATACAATTTCTGAATAAGTAAAAGAAACCTTTTTCATTACATATTCTATAATCTTCCTCTTGCAGATACATTATTCCATATATACTGATATTGTGTGCACACACACACACCACCTGCCTAATATCAAGTTTGTCCCCCTTGTGCTGCCAAAACAACTTTGAACAATGTTAATCGGCAAATTGCCTCCACAAGACCTCTCAACTTATTCTGTGGTATCTGGTACTAAGAAATTAGCAGCAGATCCTTTAAGTTCTGCAAATTGTGATGTGGGAACTCCATGGATCGGATTTGTTGTTCCAGCACATCACACAAATGCTGGATCAGATTGAGATATGGGGAATTCAGAGAACATGGCAACACCATCAGGGAACACCATTGCCATGAAGAAGTATAGGTGATTTGCAACGATCTCTAGGAGGTATACTTGTCAAAATAACACCCACACGAATGCCAGGTTTTAAAGTTTCAAAGCAGAACATTGACCAGAGCATGACACTGCCTCTACCAACTTGCTTTCCGTCATAGTTCACATTACTGCCATCTCTACCCAAGTTAAATGATAACATTGCATCTTGACATTCACCTGATCTAAGTGAAAACTGGACCAGGGACCAGGCAACCTTCTTCCATTGATCCATGGTTCTGTTTTGATTCTCATGTCCCAGTGACCATGCTATATGTGATGGACAAAGGCATTCTGACTGTTTAGCAGCTACACACCCCCATACACAGCAAACTGTGATTAACTTTGTGTTCTTAAATCTTCCTATCATGGCCAGCAATATGTTTTCAGAAATCTGAGCAACAGTAGCCCTTATAGTCCAAGCTGTTTTTTTTTACAAATAAGCACATTCTTATACACGCACACATATACATACACACTTATACTTGCATACACATAGAAATACAAACACATTGAAGCACAAAGACATGCTGACACACAAACTGTCAGAACATGTCTGGCAGTTTGCTGCTGTTTTGTCTTTTTGTGGGTGTCAGGCATCGTGTATCTATGTCCATGTGCCTGAGAGCATGTGACTGACAGTGAATATTCTTTTCTGTGTGTCTGTGAATGTATATGTGTATACATATATACACATATTTCTGCAATATAGTATTCCTCGCACTAGCAAGTGAGATTAGGGCTGGTAAGGAGATCTCCTCACTAGCCACCCATCAACCATGAGTTGGGGCCAGGGTGGAACACTAGGTCCCAACATGTCACCCATGGGTGGAGGCCAGCGTAAGAAACTAGTCCCTCCCCCATTAGTTATGAGGCCAATATTATTAATATTAGGGCTCCCATTATGTCACCCATGGGTGGAGGCCAGGTTAGAAAACAAGGCCCTCCCCCATTAATATTAGAGTAACCCCAGTTAATTATTAGAGTAATTATTTATGAGAGTAACCCCATTCCATGTCCATGTGACAGGGCCAATTCTATTGACTGGGCTGGTAGAATCTTATTGACCCCTACAAGATTTGTATTTGTTTAATTTTTTTATTTTTTTTGCTATTTTAATTTAAAGGCGTGCAAGCTAGCTGCAGAGGGTTTTGATAATTTGCATTTATATTTCTAATTTTTTTCAAAATTCAAATGCAATTCATTCAGTCTGGATTTCAGCCTTTGAATCAAATTTAGGACCATTCCAAATACCATTAACAATGTCTGGATTTTGCAGACCAAATGGTCTGTATGGTTTAGCCCCATTCAGTATGGGTTCATTCAGACTTTAGTGATTTAGTAGGTAAAGTGGGTATTGTTGTTCACAGTTAATTCAAAGTGCATTTCAAATTTAAAGCCAAAGTAGCTGAATTTTTCAGCTGTTTTGGATTTAGGTTTGAAATTAACTTTAAGTTCCTGACAATCCTCACTTTAGTTAATAATCTATTGTATTGTATTACAAGAAACAAGGCAGAGATGTCCCTAAATATTTTGGAATTTGGAAAAAGCAATAGCTGTCTTGCAATAATGGATGCCAGGGTAACAGCTTTCCATTTAGACACACCCACTATCATTGTTATAATGCAGGATATAAATAGCTCCTAAGCCCATATAATCACCATATAAACTGCTGTTAGTCTCTGCACAGGGTTTGACTAATGAATGGATAGCAACAGACATAGAAGCAATGTTTTCGTAAAGCAGCCTGGGTAACAAGACAGTTAATTTTTTATCATAATTTGACATTTAAAAGTAAAAATAATAAACCATTTCTCAAGTTTGTTTTTAGATTAAAATATCATGCTATTGTCCCATTTCTAATTTAAAGCCTTACAATGAAA